TATATCATGGAAAGGGGCGAATAAGACGCCCGCCGCTAAATGAAACAGGCTTCCAGGGCTCTTGCAGTAGCAGCAGGCCGCGGAGGAGCCGACACAGGTTATGCAAGCCTGTATCCGTGAGAATGCGTGCTGCGTTTTCCCCTGTAAAGCAGCGAGACCCCAGGTACTGCGTCTCCGGGATATTTGAGCTGTGCAGCATCACAAACGTAAGCTTTTCAGCGAAAGAACCTGGGCCGCGGTGCACAGGCGGCCGTTAACTCGCCACATCTTTTAATGTAGCTAAGCATTAGCGTGGACTGCAGGAAAGGACGGAGATATGCGCAGTACAGTAGGAGCAGCGGAGTCCCGCGTAGACCGCACAACGAGCGCGAAGACGCAGCATGGGAGTTCAACATGAGAGTCAAAACAAGACAGGCAGATGATCCCGCGAGCTTGTTGCTGGAGCACTCTACAGTGGAGTAGATATGTTTACTGCTGTGAAGATCTCTTAGAGAGCAGGAAAGCTCTCCCGGGATCAATACCGGCGTCATAGCGGCCTGGAGCACTGCGGATGCGAATGGACGCCAGAATGCTGACGTTGCGCGCGCCCACTTGGACCGTTCTTACTGAGAACTGAATCGCACTTGCGCAGCGGTACCCTGTTCCCACGTTGTATCTCCCTCGGTGACCGAGTACGAAACCCTATTTGAGTTTGCAGCGTCAGCGGATCGGCGCCAATGCCGCTCCTGTATCCGCCATACAGTGCTCTCCCAGTCAAAAGCTGAAGGTACCGAGGTTTCTGCGGGCCTACACGTGTGCCGTTCTCTGCACTTTCTGAGGACCCTCCCGGCTGCGTCCTATTGTAGAATGCGAGCATCCTACTCTGGAAGATTACTCCGCACTTTGCGGATACACAGGAGCACATTCGCCAGCAGCCCGCCTGTAATGTTCGTACGACGGTAACGGGTAGCGGCGCGACGCTTGCTTCCCCTCTCAGCATCTGTCATATGCGGGGGGAGGCATGCACTGGAAACATTTCGTAGAATACAGGGGACCTGGTCGTTCCTTATTGAGAGCAAAGCTGCCGAAGAGAGCACCGTTTTCTGACAGTCTGTGTCATCCTTCTTGCGAAAGCTGCACATCTTACCAGCGCTACTCTGGGAGGCGGCGACGAATTAGAGCCACGGAGGAACGCCAGCCAGCTGTGCATTCTCCGCGAAACTGGAAACACCGCATAGCATCTGCTTCTGGGCGTGGTGCGCCTGTCTTTGCTGACGGTAGGATGTCCTTCTTCCATGTTCACAGTAACAGGAAGAGCAGCTTACGGGGTGTACGTAAGAATACGCGGATGGCCGGAACAAACCGGCGCAGGACGTGCACGCGTGGCATTGGTAGGGCTTCCAGATTGCAATGATTGATGTGTGCGATGAAAGTGCTGCACTACAACTGCATAAGGCCGCCGCGCCCTCTGGGACAGCGCGAATGCGGTTTTCGGTGGCCGTTCATCAGTTCCAATTTGTGTTCGCGCTGGTGACAGGCTGCGAGAAGCAGAAAGGCGAGCGAAGACACAGAGGGTGTCTTGCCTGCAAATGCAGCCACCCACCGGGAACACGCGTGCGTCGCTGCCTCCGGAAGCAGTCTGCTGGGCGTTTCAGCCAGGCAGATGACCTGCACTGCAGGCCAGCTGGCAGTCAAAGAGCTTTCTGGCACCATCGGAGCACGTTTCTTCTTGCGCGCCCTTTTTAGACTTGCTCTTTGTGGCGAAGGAGCGTTGGAACCGGAAGGGCCTGAAGAGCCGTCCCTATTTTGAAAACTGGCGGACACGGCCGGCGTGTGACAAGGTCTCCATGGACAGCCATAGAGCAATTCCTTGCGTTGTCATTCAACAGCTTCCCTCTTGCGGGAGAGGAGGAAGACTCCACCTTCCTGCGGGCGCAACGAGGCTGTGCTCGTGACCTCGGCGGACCCGTCACAGGCTCAGACATACCCTACAATCAGCGTCCGGGCACGAGTGCGAAGCGTCCGCCACTTCGGTTTCACGCGTTTAATGGCGCCTCACGAGTCCGTTGTGTGGGCTGCTGCAACGCACTTCCAAAATACACAAAGCTCTGCTGCACAGAGACTGGTGAGAGCCAAGAGAGTGTTCAGGCTCCATGAGGCCGACTACAGCGTTGAGAACTGCACGCGTCTGTTGTGCCCAAACGAGTAGGCAGCTTTCCCGGGTGAACGCATTCCTCCGTGCATGCACCACACACCTTCGGGCGGGTAGACGGGAACGTGGGTAATGGAACTCCTCCGCGCTCTGCCCTTCGCACAGCCCAAACAGTTCCCCGCATAGCCTGCGTGCCCGGTGTCCTCTCTCGCGTGCAACTCCGCTGCCTCACAAGGCACTATAGCCGCATGGAGACTACGTTGCCAGGCCGAGTCCGCTTCCTGCCGATCAGTCAACGCTATGCGCCGCCTCGCATTGCCGAGAATATTGACAGCGAAGCTTTGTTCGTCAATGATTTCCCTCCAACGTGTTTCGCGCGGGGCAGCGGGGCTGCCCAGGCATCCGGACTTTCTCTCTCTCACCAGCTTGCTAGGCAGCAGGGCCGCCCAAGTATTCGGGCATTCTTTCTCTCTCTCCAGCTTGCTAGGTCGTTTACAGAGCAGCGCCCACCAGCAGATGTGGTCTCCTTCCAAGTCTCTTTGGAATGTGCGGAACTGGATCCCTGCGCTTACCGTGCGTGAGGCGCCGTTGAAGCCGCAGAGCTCTCCGCACGTACGACGCCCTGGCCGAGAACAGCTCACTGCGCAGGCCCGCCTACGACGCTACGTTATTTCTAGCCGCCGCCATTGTGATTCGTAATCGGTCTGCAGCATCAGCTGCGTTTCCTGGTGCGCATGGCGTCTGGACATACGGAGCGTCTCGCGAAATGCCAAATGTCCCTACATCATGCATAGCTTCCGTTCAGCAGCACTTCACGGAAAAGCGTCACACTTGGCTGTGGCCCGCGTGACGTCGTGTGGGAATCACGCCGCATATCGGGCTAGACGGTGCAATACTTTTCGCATGTTTTGTATCAGAAAGGCGCTTACTCTGCATATCGCCGGCCCTCTTTAGCGTGGAGTCCACCGGCCGAACAACTGCTAAACGTGGAACCCTAGGCCTGCTCTGCGGCAGCCTCTAGCTCTTACGCGAACCAGCGCTGTCCACGCATCGCGTATCCACTCGGTTAAGAACCACAAAGGCCTCACTGCTAATGAGGGAAGAACGCGGGAAAAAGAAGGTCCGCAATAGTGTGCAAAAGTTAAGAAACGCGAGTTCTGGTGCGGCGACGTGGGGTCAAGCTAAGCAGAGACGTGGAGCCAGCGGCGGCCTGTACAGGGCAGCAGTGCCAGGCAGCGCGCAGAGCCTGGGTGCCAGGCTCGACTGCACGACGCTGGCGTCTTCCCAAGTGAAGGCTGTAGACGTAGTAGTTTCGTTCCACTCTTCTTCGCATCGGCTCCGGCAAGGTTGCAGCCAGGCGGGCATGCGACGAAATCGAGACACAATGTGGTCCTGTGGACGGGCAGGGTGGGCGAGTACTACATCGGAAAGTAGCACAGCCGTGGCTCAACCCTCCTGCTGTACGTCGAGTGCCGTACTTATGCTGAACAGCTTCAGAATGCTCCCACGGTGCAGGGAAGCGCCTCAGTTTCGTCGCGTCTTGCCAGAGGCACTCGGGCTCCATTCTACCCACGTTGACGTCAAAGCGCATTTGACACCGGGAAGGTCTCGCGGCGACCATGGTGAAAGACCGCAGAGCGCCAGAAGAGAGCAACGCGCATTTCTACCGATTGTTGCCTTCAAAGTTGACACCAGGTACTGACGGTACACTCAGTGGTAAGTCTCTTCTCGCAAAGGTGATGTCGCACAGGACGGAGATACGTCTGCACCGCTGCTGTAGGAGCACATCGGGCGGCTCAGCAGGAACCGCCCCGCAGGCATTTCCCGCGCGCTGTTATGGGACGTACTACATGTTCAGACGCCTTAACCACCGGACCGCTACGGCAGAATGCCTGTACGCTATTACAAGGAAAGGGTGTTCGCTTTACTTCTGCTGACGCTTGGTTTGAATTTTTTAATCGAAGGTAACCATCGCGCACATACAGCAGCCTTTACAGCCCCACAAGCGGCGGCGCGCACATATGGCGACTTCACCATCACAAAAACGGGCATTCGCACGCTGCCGCGCTGCGGAAGGCCCGGGGTCTGCCTGCCTTGTATCTGGGCCCCGTAATTATTCTACCAGCTCTGAGAGCGCCCGGTCGTCGAGTAAGATATTAAAGACAATTGAAACGAGTGCTCAATCGTTGATACTTTGACTGCTTGCAGAACAGGCTCTCTGCGTGTATCCCTGCACTAGGTCGCTTGCTGACGTGAGATCCTGCACGATCCGGGCTCCTGAAGTGAAGAAAGCGGCTCCTACGGGCTGTCAGGAAGGGGGCGTGAATGCTGACATCGTGCGCCGGACCGTCGAGGTGCAGCAGCCGGCGGCTGCGGCTTCTCAGAAGCTTTTTGCCCACGCCTGTCAACCAAGGCGGGGAGAGGGACGGCACTCGAGAAACCACAGTGCAGGCAGGGAAGGTCGAACGCCGTCCTTTTACTTCGCGTGACGCCCCGCATGCTGTAAGGTGCTTTTGTCGGCTAAGGCACGCTCTATAGCTGCGCCTTCCTGTCAGACGTGGTGCAGCGAGAGAAGCTCACTGTGCTTTGCCTGGCTTTCCCGCAGTTCCCTCCAAGGAGTGCAGTCCCTACACTGCTGAGGCGTCGCTACTCAGGAATGCAAACCTTTCTCACTTTTCCCACGAGGAGTCGTGACGGCCACGCTGGAATCTGACATGTCGATACGTTACGCCTGCATCGCGTTCAGGAAATCTACAGAGGAATATTCTTGTGAGCGTACAGAGACCGGCGGTGGCGCTGTGCTTGGATTCGGATCCGCGCCGCTGACAAGAAAAATGGAGGGTATCAATTTCTTAAGATGGCGAACCACAAACTCGTTCTTCCCCCGTGGGCCGCTTTGCAGGATGCAGTAAGCTTCTGCAATTGTTTCCAGCACTGGGTCATGCTCGTATTCGTCTGCGGAGAAAAAAGTCATGGCAGGCGATACTGTGACACGCGGGCGCCGACAAAGGCATCGTAGCTCTGCTATCGCGCCGTGGGCAGCTCATGGGTGTCCGATTTCTGCCGCGCTAATCGTCCAGCACGAACGTCTGATCACAAACGCTGCTCGCTAGAGTCCACCGGATACATTCCAAAAGCCGGTCAGTTTTCCAGTCGATGCATCGGTGACGTCAGTAGAAGGACCTGTGTCCTGCATTCCGGGAAACAGTACGTTGCTTCTTGGACATGCGTAACGCGGTAAAGTCTCCTTCGCGGTGCCTTCCTTGCGAAACTGGCCTGCTGTTGCGCGTTTACAACGGACGCCACACATGCGGGCTCCCCTAAATTGGAGCTTAAAAGGTAGTACGCAGAAGAACGACGCATGCGCGCGGGTGTCGCGTTGCTGCGGATGCCGTGATCCGCTGTAAAATGGCCCTGGCAGCTCGTGCAATTCTGCGGTGAGACCGACCGTGTCTCTCGGGCACTAGCACCTCTTTTTATACATATGAGAGACTGAGGCAAACGGCAACAATCGAGCACTAAACGCAGAGCGGCGACAGAACAGATGCCGTAAGCACGAGGCCGCATAAGTACCTACGCCGGCACAACGTGGCCGGTCTTCTCGCCTACAGGTCGGCTTCCACCAAACAGCCGCATAAGGCTGCCTGTTGGAGGAGACGCGGGGCGTGCGACTACTATACGATGTCCTAGGGACGTCGTTGCGTTCATTGTTACCGCTTGCCTGCTCGTCCCAGGTTGAATCCCCGCACAAGCACAAGTGGTGCGTGCACCTCCAGTAGAGAGTATTCCTCTAAGCAGCCCACACTATGGAACGCTGGTCGACACCTCCGTCGGCCTCCGTCCGCCGCAGTTCCGCGCCGGCTCCGCTCGCAAGTTGTTCACACGCTTCTGCACTGCCTAAGATGGTAAGTCTAGTTTTAACATGCGAAGACTCAAAGTGACCCTCGGTGACGATAGCTGCGTCCCCACCTGCAAGCGTGGCATGGCTTCCCGATCATTTTAAATCGAGCAAGCCTCGAGTGCGCTAGATGACTCTCTCATGCGAGAGCATACTGAGCGTTAGCGAGAGACACGTGCTGGGGATTGTGACCCGCTCCGTAGAAAGCAGGTAGGCGTGGTGACAGACAGATCTCGGAGGAGGAATAGACCCGCTTGCGGTAAGATTTTCCATCGAGAGGTCAGCTGCCTAGGGGAGTACGCGTGCTGCTACGCGCATCGTGGCACATCTCGCGCAAATCGTGGTAACTATGTCCATATACCGTTTCGGGGGTAACAATAGTCGCGCAGAGTTGTTGCGTCTTTCCGATGCTTTCGGCGGTCGTGGGGACGTCGTTCGTGATGCTCGTGATTTGACAACGTAGAAATTCTGGTGAGATAACCTTTTCGAGCAGGTCAGTTACACATTCCGACGGAAACCACGAGGGGCGTCCTTGCCCACGTGTTCTGGGACATTATCGTGTGGACAGGCATGCATTGCTGACGGGAGCGTACCAGCGGTGTCCTTGTGCGTACACCGTAACGATATGCACCGGACAGCAGGAACGCTCTGGCCTCGTTGGGGGAGACGGGTATTTAATATTAGTGTGCAGGCAGCGAAGGTCATGCCTAGTGCCGCCGCTCGCCCTATCGTTCGTTCAGCTTCCATGATTAGAATACTCGCTCTAGAAGAGCTTCGACGACGTCTCCGTACTATTTCGGAAGTTTCCGCCGAGTGCCTCGAGCAGGCCTGTGCTGTCTGTCTGTAGAGGCTGGTTAGAATCAACGTAGAACAGACAGCGCGTGGGATGCCTGCCTCAGATCCAAGTAGACGTCTTCCTTGTGTAACCGAATGAGAGCTGAGCGTTGAGGCCCACTACGTGGACTGCCCTGTGTGATTTTTACGAGAGGCCGCCATGAAAGACGCTGTTCGCTGCTGTCGATGGCGGCCCTGGCACAAGCAACCGCGCTTCGGCGCGGCGATTGGCGCAGAAAAGGCCCCGTCATTTCTGAGGGACGGCGGTGGGCGACTCGCGGCAAGAAATGCTAGCACAGTGATTCTTTTTATATGGACGCGTATATTCGCCAGGGCGGAAAAGAGGGCGGACGCTCCGCCGTATTCTGGCTCGTAGGCCTCCCTAAGCCTACTTCTCAGCCTCGATACTGAATTGGTTTCGGCAGGTAGTCCAGGGATGCACAACGTCGTCGACTTGCGTGCGCAAGTAGCGTGCGGCTTGCGCTGACAAAGGGCCGTCTGAGCTAACCTTTCCGTGATAGAAGGACGAGGCACAAGCCGGCAGGCGCAGTCTTACCGGGGTCTCTGTACTTGAAGCGCGCTGCACGGGCCTTATGAGACAGTACATAGCTTTTCTCAGCGTCAGAGATTGGCCCAACTCGCCCGATGGGACGCTGAGATGCTCTTTGCACCTGGAAGCGCGAACTGAACGCACGAGCACATTTACACTATTTCTGACCGTACAAGCCAAACCCTGCGGCAGGAGCCCTACAACGCAAAAGACCCCCGTATTCAAGTAGTACTCGTTGGTAGGTCGTAGCGCTGGAAGACTGCGCCTCCCTTACGTCTAATCCTTACCGGCAAAGGGTCTTGGGGATATCCGCCAATAGAACGAGCGGAAAAGGCGTAGCTGCTCTTGATAGGATGGACGAGTTGCAGTACCATTAAGGCAGACCTTCCTCACGTGCCCAGCGTTCAAAATATTCTGCCTAGTGATTGCTGCAAATCGTAGTGGGAATAAATGTGTACGTTTCCCCGTGAGCACACTGTCTAGACCGGCATAGCCACCGGGACTGTCCCATGCGACCTGCAGAACCGCGGCTGAAGGCGAAGCCTCTGGATATGCATGAGTGCCTTGCAATCAGACGTACTCAGGCAGCGTCTCCGAAAACGCAATATGAAGGTGTACTTGTTGGCGTGGAATCCTGGTTCGCCTTTTATCCTCATTGACGGGGCTGGATTTTTCTATCGCAGAACCGGACCAAGCATTCGAGCTACACAAATCAGGAGCAGGCGCGCTGCAGCTTGCCAATCAGTGCGGTTGGGCTCGTCGCAGCTTGCTGCGAGCGAGTCGGGGCTCACTCGGATATTAGGTTGGTTCACATTTGGCATGACGCGCTGACGAGAGCACACCAGTCTCAAGCGGAAGACGGCGTGTTTCCCTGCCTGAGTAACGGCAATCTCTTAGACGAATCACTTGTTATCAAATCGGCGCGGCGCGGAACTCTACTTGCACTGGGGCGTAAAGTGTTTTGGCATAGCCGGCGCGATGGAGAATCGAGCAAGCTCTTCCGCTCTAGAAAAAAAGGAGGTGGCAGGCTAGGTGGCCGGTGGTTGCACGGAAACGAGCCAGAGGCCCAAATGCCATTTTATTCTTTCGAAAGCGAATTGACACCGTGCGACGCGCTCCGTGGCCAGCACTTTTACTCAACGGGATCCACAGCGGCTCTCAAAAATGACGCCTTTTTACTACACAGAAACAAGTAAGGAAGACAGTGAGGTTCTGAGGGCTTGCCAATCTCAAGGGGAATGATTTGTGCTGCCGGTGCCCGTCGTGGCACTGACACGTGTGCGTCAGCTCCCGCGCGAGCACTTTCTGTGTGAGCATCCGCGCACGCGCTCTGTCCGTGAGGCAGTGGAGTCAATGAACGCCGGCGAGCAGAGGACCGCGCCGCCCGCCTCCTGTACAAAATAGTCGTTCCAGTGCACAATCTGCTTGGTCAGTTTTCTGGCTATGCTGTAGGCGTGTTTCTCTATGTGTGCAGCTAAAATAGCTGCAGCGTGCACAGATGCCTGGAACTGCTCAGGACCTTCCAGTGACAGCGGCGCGCAGTGGAGGCGTGACAGCTGAAAACGCTGTCTGGCTGGCTCCCCTGCTGCTCCGTGCGGCTCGTGTGACGAGCCGACTGCTGGAGGTATCCGCAGCGTTTTCAGGATACAGATATGAACGCGTGTTCGTGGTGATGGTGACGGACTGGCAGCGGGTCCGTATGTTGCGCGGAGGAACAGATACATGCCGCCGCTTTGTCTCACGCACTGCTCTGCAGCAGAGACGTTTTCGGTATGGCGCTGCTCAGAATGCAAGCACCTCCCGGACGAGGACACCGTGAACAAACCGCTGGAGCTAGTCTCCCGGCGCGACACTCGGATGCTGCGCCCTTCCGGCAGTCTTTCCGCGCTCTGCTATGTGTCCAAGTGACGTCGCGTCGTCCCAAGGGCAAACTGCGGCCGCGGAATTACAGCTGCTCATCCGCAGTAGTGGCATTAATCGTCACGCGTACACGCGTCGAGGAGAACGGTAAGGGGGGGGGTGACGAACGCAGGATCTCCTAACCGAGGCTTGAGCTTTGGTGTGAATCACACTCAAGAGGCCACCTTCCATAAAGTGTTCGCAACTTTCCAGTGGTGCTGGCGAGACTCGCGAGCTTCGGAACGGGGATGCGCCAGCACACTGCAAATTACAGTCAGGTCTTTCGCTATTTCTAAGAAGGCCAGGGTGCATGTGAGTATCGCGTATCTGATGTCACCAGGAAACAAAACCGAAACGACGAGTCATTCAACTTGGTCCGGCCTCATAGACTGCAAAAACAACCTTACCCTCCCCGAGCTTCCGGCCTAGTTGCAGGACACACACCTGCATATGCCCGGATGAGGGCATGCACAGAACAGCAGACTCTGTGTCGCAACAGGAGTTGATGTTGTGTAGGCAGCTACCTTCGGACCCGTAAGGACGGGCTCGCTTCCTACATGAGAAGGACTTCTTCTGCCGAACGCGACGGGAACAGATCGGTGCTATGCCGGGTGGTCAGGACGAGAGTTCCTGTGTAGGGCTAGAAGGCTGAGTAGGCGGTGGGCGCAAACAGGGAAGCAGCAAAACTGATATACTCGTTAACCTCTCGGAGCATGCACGAAAAGAATTCAGGCGGGATCACGTTGCTGAACTGGGGGAGACACGCGCTGCAGTGTCGCGAACGGCCAAAGGAGAAAGCTTCAATCTTAATCTGGCAAAACGCAACGACGGTGGGCGCAAACAGGGAGGCAGCAAAAGTGGTATACTCGTTAGCCTCGTAGCACGCTGCCGGACTGGGCGAGGCGCGCACTGCAGTCTTGCGAACGGCCGAAGAAAAGTGCTTCAATCTTAACCCGGCAAGGCGCTGCAATAGGAAAAAGCAGGAGTCGAGGGTGCGCTGACAAGTGTGTTTAGATCACTGATTGGATTCCAGTGCTTTCGCTCGAGGCGCTCTCTCAAAGCAAAGCTGCATCGTCTGGCAAAGGCGATGAACCGAGGCTTGGAGCCACGCACAGGAGAGAGCTTCTGTGGACCAGGAAAGACTTGCCTGAACACATAAGTTAATGTATGACCTGCTGTTGCCCTCGGGAGGAATCCGCGGCCTGCAGATTCAGGCTAGATGTGCGCTCCGAGTGGCACCCATCGCCGCGCTAAGCGACACGAGCCAGCCACTTACTGCACTCATGGGGACACGCCGCGAGACAGTATTGCATATGCACCCTAACTCAGGAGTTTCGCGGACAGCTGCGCTCCTGGACCACAACCACAGCTAGACGCCCTCCCCCGGAATGCCGGGAGGTGCCTAATCCTGCTGAATTCGTCGGCGCGTTTCAAAGCGGACTTCTTTTAATAGGGGAGTAGGATCACTGTACGATGGGGAACGGCGGAAGGCAGAAGGCACTAAGGTGCCCTGAGCCGCGGGGACATTGGAAAGCGCAAGACTACTGCGCTCCGTTATGGAGAACGCGCCGCGCGTGCTGCTCTTTCCTGTCGTGACACTAGCGCTGCGGGCCCTCGCACTCCTAGATGTTGACAGGCGTCGCTGAAGATTCAGCCAGCCCTGCAGGTCCTGCCCCTGCGCCTTCCGCCACGCCGGAGGAAAACAGGATTTCGCTCGCGCAACAACTTCGATATCCGCGCAACCTACGGCGCGCACGCTTAACCCTCCCGTCCCTGATATAGGCATAAATCCTTTTCACCAGTGAGGGTTTCCCAGGTAGGGTGCCCCTCTCGCTAAGGAGACCGGTCCCTTTCTGCTCCGCGTCCGTGTCGCAGGACCTCAGTTTGTTTGCAGTGGCCGTCTACCTTGGGTGCTGGCTGCAGCGGGGTACGGGCCTGCTTTCGTACAATCCTCGAGAAAGGCCAGTGCGACACGTCTGACGTGACGTAGTCATGATATGTGCACTAGCGCCACATGGCCGTGCCACCGCGTAAAGCGCGAGGGTCGACAACAGCGGAAGCGCGTTACCCGGTTCCATGATGCGAGGTCGGTAAGCAAGCAGGGGCCTTATCATAATCCGCGCGGGATCCAGTGTCTCTGCTCGAGCCTCGGCTCATGCGGAAATCCCTCCGCCGTGCGAGACTCATTACTGTGGCGCCTAGCGGATGTGGCTTCGCGCTGGCGCCGACGGACGCGGAGGAAATGATTGCCCCAGAGTTTTGAGGCACGACGTCGACGTCGAAGCTTCCTTCCCGGCCGTGCATGTGCGACGGACATGTCTAGAAGCCCCAGACGCTGCCACAGCTCCAGACGGACTGTGACCCCATGGGCCTATAGCCTCCGTTCTGCTCGCCGATCGTTCGTTGTAGTCTAAAGCAAGACCTGACAAGACCTCGTCGGCAATGGTGCGTCCCATAAAACTCGGCGCTACTGTTCGCGGTGCCCGCCCCGTCCCAGGCAGGCGGCCGTGTGCAAAGCCGCGAAGCCACCGTATAGAGTCGATCTGGTATACTAGACTGTGAAGCCCAGCAAGGACAGCTGTTCTTTCGTCAGGGGATGAGCCCGTGCTTGGCGTTAGGCTGAGTGACGTCTTCTCCGGGATCTCCTGCATGCGGCTTGGAGATCACGCAAGGCTCAGCCCTCCTATGCCGGCGCCGTAAAGGTTGTGGCAGCGTGACCAGCAGTCAACATTTTGTCGATACCAACGAGCGTTTAAAACTGCCAGACGGGGACTGCGCCCGGGTTTCCCAGACAACGACGTTCGTTAAAAACGTTGAGAGGCAGCCTGCTCATGCTCGACGTCTTTGTTGCCGTCTGCGCGCCACAAACGCGCTAGAATCCAAAGCAGCCATCTGCAAGACGTGTACAGGAGTGCATTGGGGTTTGCATCGACGACAATCAGAAGAGATCAGCACCACAGGAAGCCGCTCGACAGGACTACACTGACGTGGAGGCTGGCGTCCCGGTGTTGCCTGAAAAAGGAACAGCATGTCACCACACGACGCAAAACCATTCGGGTAAGCGGATCATGGGGAGCGACGCTTTCTGCTGCGTGCCAGGAGGTTGCTGTCGCATCTGAGAGCATTAAATTCTCCTTCATGCCGCCCACAAGCACACATATCTCGGAGCCAGCGCATTACGTCCGCTATTTTCTCGCTGGGCACAGCCAACCCTGCGTTGGTCACGTTTGGAGTAAACAAGACTCGCAGCGTTGCGCCGCAAAAGATCCAGAGCCGGCTTGCGAAGAATGGCAGGCCACGAAGAAGAACTTTGTGCCCGTCGTTGCTTACGTCTCAAAGTCTGTACTTCCACAGGAGGCGTGCGAGTGGGTGTGAGTCTCTCTTTATTCGAGGGAAAGCGCGTGAATCCACAGAAAACACGATTACCGGCACGTAACACGAAGCATGACTCCGTCGGCCTCAGCGCGCTCGACTCCTGTGTATGCTGAGCAAAGGGGACTGCCGAGCGTTTCAGACGTCACAACAATTACTGGCTTGCCGTCGCGCTCCTGAGCGGCTACTAAGTGCCTCAGGACGTGTGTGTCTGCAGCTCAGGGGATTGACGGGGTACAGCGATGTTGTGCCTATCAATGTAATGATGCATTTCCGCCGCACAGGGTCTTCCGAAGGCGAGGGCAGGAAGCGATGATTATTGTGAAATACCTCAGTGGCACGTGTTCTTAGCTCAGCGTCGGCACCCCGAAAGTGAATGTGCGTTGGTAGTCCGTACGTCGAGTGCTCGCAAAATGCACGTTACGACCCGCGCTAGAAGGAGCAAGAAGCTTGCTCTGATGCATTGTGCACGACCGGTATGCGGGGAAGGCGTGGTCGCAGCCTCGCGCCGATGTTGCCTCCTTATCTGAAAGCGGAGGGGGACGTGCACGATGACAGCAGACGGGATAACGGCCACTTCCGAAACATTGTTACTATGTGAAGGTAAAAGACGGCGGTCCGAGCTCCGCCTGCGGCAGCGGGGTACTAGCTGTCGAGTTGCGGCGTGCGTCGGTTGCTGCCTAGCCATAAATTTCGCCTGGTTTGCTGCGGGGCCTCGGAAAAAACGTGGCGTGGGGCACAGGACTGTCCAACGGCGCGCGTGGCTGCGCTCGGGCTTTGCCTGCTGTGGCCTGACCGAACAGAGTTTCTACGGCGCCTTGTGGATTGAGTGGCGCTGGTGTAGCTTCTGTGGGGGAAACGGCTGAGTAGTCGATGGACGACGAGTAATTCTTCGGCGTCAGGGACGAGAGAAATTTACTGACTGTGCTGCGTTCCGCCAGGCGATCGACAGAGAATGCGGGCAGGTTGCCCCACATTCCACGCGCATTCCCGCTCTGTGCTTTTTTATGCTTGCGGCCGCCTCTAGCTACGAGAATACCACCCTGGCGTGTAGGCTGTGCACAGCTACGGTCGCGCCGCGCGGTACAGCACTGCCGTTGGCTGGAACGGGGAAAGGTCCACGTGAGACCACAATAATTCCGTCACCAGGCCAATGTGCTAGAATGAAATATGCACACCAGGCCTACCTTCTTATAGCTGCACTGGAGCTCCGCGCCCACATTAGCTAACTATCCACGTCGCAGCTACGGAGAGTTGCAGTCGCCGACTGACGAAACGTACGCTGGGCCGTGCAAGCGACAATGTGAACGCGAACCGTTCACCCTCCATCTGTAATGCTTCGTTGGTGCGACACGGTGGCTGCCGCCGCTGAATTGTTCCCTCGCGTAAAGACACAGACAAGCGTTGTCGCTTGCAGTTTTCACGCGAGACTCCCGGTGTCCGCGCTCGCGGTGCAGTCCAAGAGCCGACGGCGCTCTGTCCTTTTGCGCGTAGGGGTACGTGGCGTTCAACAACTACAGAGGGCCCGCAGCCGGCCGGCGCTTGGTCCGGCATATTGCAATAAGGGGTTCCTCTCCGCAGGAGTAGACGCTGCGAAAGCGTCCCTGGGGACGCCTGCAGCCACGAAAATCTACCTGCCAACGCAGGCGGCAGCGAAAGGGTGGGCGGCCGCGGGGCGTTACGGCGGATGGAAAGTGTGTAGCCTCTCCGCAGCAACTGAGTTGAACCTGATTGGAAGCGGCAGGAGCTTCGTGTGGCAGTAAGGCAACGCGTGTGGCTGCTGCAAATTCGCCGGCCCACGGCGGCGTCGCCGACGCGTCGGCGCGGCCGCGCAAACATGGTCGCGACATGGCGCCGGAGTGGTCGGGCGTACGTCACGATGACGTACCCTCCGCTCGCCTCCGCGTCGGTATCGAAGAAGCGCGCCTACAAGTGTGAGTGACTTTCTAGCGCCTCTATCGCGCTGTGTCGCTTCGTCTCTATACCCAGCCTCATGCGGAATCCCGAAGTATGTGGTATGTTCTTCGATTCCTTTGCGACTTGTAGCAAGCGTACGCAAAGCTCAGGTCAAGTAGCATTGGTTGAAGACTGTTCTCCCTAAATCGAGCGCTCATCTGGAGCGCGCAAAATTGTGTCCCCCTACAGCTCCTGTCATGCGTGTGAATCGTATCGGCCTTCCCTTCGCGTAACGGACGCGGCACTTGAATCTAAGAAGCGTATGTGGAAAATGGCGAAGCAGTGCGTGCAGCCAACGAAGGAAGTCACGCGTAGACAAAGCGTAGACCTGAATAGGCGCATCTGCACTAATACGCGGCCGGCTGCCCTCTTGCGATGGGACACACTAGAAACGTGAGAGCACATCCTCCTCCTCAATTTCCCCGGGCTCTCTCAGCTACGCGGAAGCGCAGCCGACGTAAGAGAAGCTCCAAGCACTCGAGCGAATCAGGGCACGTGAAGCTCTGATAGGGATTGCAGGTCACCAACGGCCCTGAGTTTTCATGTAAACCCCCTGATTGCGAATGGCGTTCGTACAAGGTACCGAAGTCCAGTCCCTTAGTAGACGTCCTTTGGACAGTGGAAGCGCGTCTTCTGCCGAGTTGGTTGTGCTTAAGGTAGTGGGAACGACCAAGTAGATGAACGCCAGGAATATGTGGACGAGTACCGTGGACGTGCGCTTGGACAGGTGCAGCATCTCTACAAGAGCCAGTGTGCCTTGAGCTCTTGACCGTCAAAACGTGTCAGTATAGTTAGCGTCTTTCTTACTGTAGTCGGAAGAGGCCGCTGTCTAGCGGCTGGCGACAAGGAGTCTTCTTCGTGCAGAAGCTTATCTTCGTAACAGTGCCTCTGGGGCCATTGCGGGCTCCGCACAAGTTTGTGCGCTCTGGAAATTTGCGGCGGAGTACTCCTTTCTGATCTGCTTTGGAATGCAGCCAGGCACGGCTCTGCAGGGGGAACCGGCTGCGTTTGCAGTGGTTTACCCGTTGCACTTGCGCGTCACGCAGTCGAATCACACCAGGACGCTCTCTACGACAGGGCCACGGCGCCTCACATCAGCCTGCGATCGCTGCTTTCGCACCGCGTGACCCGCTTGCCTTGGGCAGCGGACGTGCTTTCGGCTTTGAGTGAAATGCAGTGCACCAGAGCGTGTGTTCGTACGCCGCCAGGACCCCATGAGAGACCTGCAAGCGGCGCGTGTACCAGGATACGTCTCCCAGATATGTATTGGCGAATTATAGGCGGTATCTTCCGGGCTGCTGTTACCAAGCGTGTTTCCACCCTGAAGCTGCTGAATCGAAGCAAGGCAGTGCGCCGTAGCGCTTGATACAATGGCGCGCGCAACACGGCAAGGAGAACCGAAATAAATGCGTGCGCATATCGAAGGTGCCGATCAGCAAGGCGCAGACGGTATCGCCTTCTAGTCGAGATCCAGCTGCGTTCGGTTGATTTCGTCGACTCTGACAAGATGCACTTTCCGTGGGCGTCAGATCCCTGCTGAGTGTTGTCTCTGAAGAGAAGGTGGACGCATTCTCTATGGAATATACCTGCTTCAGCCGGCCCAACTTGAGCTCGCCCAAGCAGACTGCGGCGCGGTGGACTGGACCTGTGTAGTCCCTCAACGGCTTTTGCGAGCCTGCATGCGCTGCTGATGAGAAATTTGCTAGAGTTGGGCGACAGGTGCGCCACGGTCATTTCGAGTACAAGGCAAAGTGCGTCCTTAGCTGCTCTGGAGGGCCCCGACCCGCGCCTTTGCTGCATCCATGATCTACTCTCGTACCCCAGCCGTCAACCAGTAGCCGCTGGGGCGCGTTATGGCTGTATGATTTGCCGGGCACTTCCTACGAGAAGTAGGATCAGCGATGCATGGAAGCCACGAGGCTTTGAAAAGTTGGTGGGGGGCCTTCTTCGGTTGTGTCTGGGAACAGGTAGAATGCTATTGCTGCTGAAGAAATGCTGCGTGAGGTGTGCCGTCCTGTAGAGCCTTCCGGGGAGGCTGGGAGACATAATGGCACAGCGGCGCTGCAGTCACCACCGACGGAACGTGACGGGTGATAGGGCACGCGGATGTTTTTACGCGCAGGTCCGCGGCGCCTAGAATATGAACGCGACCGGGCGGCGCGCCTCGCACAAAGCTCTGATTACGCGCGACGTGTATGGAGGCATGCACGCTGACTCTCCTGCTCTTCCGAGCGCGGTGCCCCCGAGGCATGCTTGTGCGTCGTGCCAGCTCCGTAGCCTGAGCTAAGTGTGTTCGTGCAGCACGGCGTGCGCCCCGGCTGGCAGCTCTGCACCTCTGAGGTGCGACATATTGCTGATAGCCGACTTTCGCCTGCGTGACTGCAGCCGGGTGGCGTGTGCGTAAGAGCGCTGGACTGTCTTCAGGCAACAGACTGCTATGTGCGAGAGGAGGCCCCAGTAGCAACAGCGCCTGTCGCGTCTTGGTTTTCCCGGAAGTGCAATGCAAGATTTCACACTCTCTGCGTTTGCCGGGCGTTTCCAAGGCGGCCGAAGGCGGAGCAGTGATTCGGAAACGCTGGGGAATATACGTATAAGGCGCGGTGCTAGCTTATTTATAGTGACCGTGTGCCGTAGAGTACGCCGTGCAAAGCAAGGCCTAAGAGGAGGCACTTGCATTCCGGCGCTGAGCTGCAGGTGCAGAACAGAGCGACACGCACTGATACTGTAGCCAGTACCCTCTCGCAAGGGTTTACGATGCAGGGCAGGGGGCTGGTCGTAGGAAGAACGCCTCTGTCACGTCACTGTCTACAACACAATTGTTTTGCATGTTGTAAGGAGTTCCGGACCTCTGACACTATAAACATCCTTTCTATCTCGCAATAGAAACCGGTGAGCGGTGTGAAGCGCCAAACGGGCCGTGCTCCAGCGGTTTCAGGAGGGAAAAATGAGACACTCGGGGTCAACAAGCAAAGCACTGCTGTGTGGAGCCCTTCAAACACATCCGTGAGCAGTCCAGGTCACATACTGAGCCCGCCTGTTCTCGGACGTGTTTGTAGGGCGAGCTTTCGTCGACGTTCTATGGGTTCCGGAATGTCGAGCTCATGGGTGACGTTCCGGCTCCCACTGCTGGCTCGGAATGCCCGAAATAGACAGAGTTTAAAGACGGGATAAGCATATCTTTTTCGCAGGATATCCATTCGACGCGCTTCAGCCCGCCACGGTCGTACTGGCATAATCCCAAGTTTCGTAGGGAATCGCGCGTCTCGCTGGTGATATTGCCGACTTACTGCACAGTCATGGTGTCAGTGTAAGGCAGGCCACTAGAGGCGCTCTAGCGTGAAGTAAACCGCGCTCCTGTGCAGCGTTGGCGGCGCCGCCGTGCCGTAAATTTCTGCTCGCTATTGCATCCGGCTGCTTCGGTACAAGCCGAGGGCCACGTGAGTTCGATGATGTGTCCGCGTTGACGCCTCACATCCATGGCGGAGCTTGCGGGGAGAGCTTCCAGTGTCCGCATGGAATGCTGCAGCACACTCAGGTGTGCGCGTCCCTGAGTGGCTTGCAAATCAGGTTGTCAGAGGATGACATCGACCTTAGCGTCTCCCTCGTGCCTCACGTTGTGTAAACAGATGCTCGAAACTCTTTCAGTGACAACAGCGTTGTCGTATCTGTTAGACAGGATCCTCCGGCCGCGCAGACAATGCGATTATAGAGCTGCGCCGACAGAAACACGCGCCGAATCGGTCTCGCCTCCAATGTAAGTGAAGCCTCCGGCACTTCTCGCGCTGGAAAGCGCAGTGTGCGCGAAGCAAGTGGTGTTGCATTTCCGCCGCCGCCATGGACGCTGTAGACAACAGCAGCTACCAAAATCACCATCTAGGACATATGCGGCGCCTGCTGCCTGGGTACTCTCTTATCTACTTCTCGACTTTTTGTTCCGCACCCTCGGTGCGTTTCAAAGCAGTGCTCAGGAGTAGAAAGGATGACTCCGTGTAAAGTGCCTTTCTCCACGGAATCACGTTTCCGCCCGCCCCTGACCTTGTGACAGCGTCGGAGAGCAACTCAATCATTCACAGCGTCACGCAATCACGGCCGTCCGTCGCCCCGACGCAGCATTTATGTCTTCTCTTTGGCGCTCCTTTTCGCCAGCGTCACGCTTCACGAGTGCCCAATAACGACGGACTGCTGCGCCGGCCCACACATGACTGGCCTTTATAGGTCTAGTCTTTGGCCTAAGAGCGGCTGCAAGCGGCCTACGACGGAGCAGCGTGCCGGGCTGGAGACACGCGGTCCCCGTGGGAAGACCCAGGTTGAAAAGGATGTGCGGTGGCAGACAGCGGCATTCCTCAGAAAGGCTCGCGCAACAGCGTGCGCCCCATCTTTCCGGTTGGGAGCCGCCTCGGGATGTAGCATCGAGGGTCTTCGGTGACAGGGCTCTGTCATTCCTCAATGCAAATCCAACTGACACTCTTTTACGGCAGAACGCGCTGTGTTGCAGCCAAACGCAAACGCAGATGATATGGCAGACGTGGTGTCCCAGCCGCAATAGGGAGGCCGGAGAAGTCTGGATTCTTCTTCCCTGGCGAGCTCACGTCTCCCACGGAGGCCGACGTAGGCAGCTTGGGCCCCCGCCTGCGATGTTTCAAACGCAAAATTGTCTTGCCTCAGCCCGGCGTTCATTGCGCATAGCTACGTTCAGCTCGCCTTCGTTAGAATACTCTTGCATGGTGGGGACGGAGGCGAATTTGGGAGTTCGGGCAGGAGGATGGGAAAAATGAAGGCTATGCCAGCAAGATGGCATTGACGCGTGGCGCGCCTATAGTTCTCATAGCGGAGCATATGCTACATGACGCTCGAGACTGAGTCTTTTCAACCAACTGACGCGGCCACTGCAACTAGCTTCAAGCGGGATCCTCGACAAAAAACACGCAGCCCTTGCACACGTCTAGGCTCACGGTGCGGGGCTCGGAATCGTACAAGACTGGTGCTGCACAGGGGCCAGCCTCGCTTTTTATCATGCGGAGATTCCATCAGGGACCGGCATACCGCGCTGATCTCAGGCTGTCAAAGCGCATCCAAACACTCTGTGGATGTGTAGAGACTCTGGTGAACAAAGCCCTGTGATGGGCCTGAATGCATGAAGTTCGGGCCTTCTCCTGCCGTGGGATGTTTCGGAAAAGTAAGCAGACATGTGGCCTCGCGGTGAGGTTGGTGAGCAGGGCCACGAGCTGGGCAGCAAGTCAGCAGCACGAAGTCAGCTCACTGTTTCAAAGTGGCAGCGCAGCTGCTGGCCGGGGGGGCGACAGAGAAGCACGCGGTCCTCTCAGGGTGTGCCGGGCGGCGAAGAGCGCCGGATACATACATCAACGGATGTCTCAGAGGTCGCAGCCCCTGCCGGGGTCGAAGTGTGGTAAGCGACGCATCAGTATGTTGCACCAGGGAACAGTAGGAGCAGGAGGGCAGACCATACACCAACGGGGGTATCCAGGTAGTACTTGCAGCTTTCCAAAGAAAGCTCTCTCCGGCAGAAGCATGGAGGCTTGCAGGGGCGTAACACTTTACTGTGTAGAAGGCGTGCTGGGATGAAAGGTGTCCTGGGACGAAGGACAGCCACTGTAGGAGTGTGGCAACCAGGGAGCTGGGGGCGGAATTGTACCCGATCGACAAAGCACCCTTCTCTGACACATTCATCGAACGTACTCAACGGTCCTGTATGCTTTCAGAGACATCTGTCCCGGTACCCGCGTGTTCATCCAACCCCCGCAGTCAAGGTGTTCGGCTTCTGTGGACAGAGCACTCTGTTGCGCGGAGTCGCTCACCTGGTTACCTGGGACGCTTTCTTGCAACATCCACGATCTCTCTGTAGCCCAAAAAAATTCTTCCCTAGGGAAATTGCAGAACACTGCGACAAAGCCTCGTCCAGCCGGGGTTGCTCCTCTAGGCCCGCGTCGCTAATTCGCATGTCTGTCGTCCTTCACTACGTGCGCCCATCTCCGTGCGAGCAGCTGGGGTGAAGCAAATATAGAGGAAGTCACGCGCGACGAGCGCCAGATAGAAGGGCGGCTACCGAGGCTACACCTGGCCAGCGGAGTCCGCTGCTGCGGAAAAAGACCTGAAAAACGGCAAGTGCTATCTCGGCTATCGCTGTGCGTACATTAGGGGGTTGTACGCTGAGCGATATAGTGCACCTTGTGGACTTCCGGAACATGCGCGGCGGCGCAGAAAAGGACTAGCCCGCGTGGAGCTGTATTTCATTTGTCGCGGGGGGAGGTACAGGCGGTTACCGAAAAAGATAGGGCTTGTTGTAAAGCAAGTGTGATAGAGACCTCAGCCTGACCGCAGTATTTTCACTTGGTGGAGATCGTACAAGACACCTTTTCGAGAGGGAGACGCTACAGCTTTGGGGGTTACGGGCAGAATCTGGAAGTGAATGGTTTTAGAGATACGCTTCCTCGCGATTCTCTGTGTGAGACTGTCTAATAGGATCGTTGGGCGCTGTAAACGACCGCAGTCAGCGGGGGCAATCGATGTTATGTGCAAAATGCCGGCGGCGGACACGCACAGCCGACACTAAAGAGGCCGGACTATGAGCGCACGAGAAAAAGCCCCGTGAGGCATAGGAGGAGGTGCGCGCATAAGCTGTGAGAGTTCTCGTCTTGCAGTAGCTGGCGTGTGGCTTCCGAGATCTCGCGGTACACGCGCTATAATTGGGCAGTAATGAATTTCCGGGCGCAGAACAGAGTGAACTCACACGTGGGTGCCCAGCTTTCTTGTGTGCTCCTCAGCGCAAACCCGACGTTCCCCGCACATCGAACCCTTATGCGACACGCCAGCAGTGACACGCGTTACAAGCCGTGCGTACGCGCTGGCAGCTAATGCAGGTAAAGACTGAAATCAGAGGCGTTCCCGGGCCAGGCGGCGCGGGAGCTAGGGACAAGCTGTCTCGATCTGTCTCATTTGCAGCCGAGAAGCATAACAGGTTTTTCGTGCCGCCGTCCTTCACGTCCGACAGCGTCAAAGAGAGCAGCATCTGCCCGCTTTCCTACACATCGACACATGTCCTCTCGGTGACCATTTGTTGCACTACTGCTGTCACTGTGCGGGCTGCCCTTTTCTCTGCGTTCTCACCTAGTCGAGACATTTTTTGGGTGCCGAAGATGAATCCAGCTGGTGTTGTCTGCAGAATGCCTGACAGTGGAGCTACACGAAAAGGCTAGATGCGCTGCTTAGAGGAACTCGAAGCTGTTGGGGGGCCAGCAACAGACTCTCACAGAGGCGCGCCGCTATAATCTACTGGCTCCGGGCGTTCCCACAAGCACAGCACAATTGGTGGAAGTGCGGGGGCTGCCTTCCGACTCTTGCAGTTATTCAGTAGATGTTTTTCTCGTCCGTGGGCGTATCCTGGTGTGCAGAGAGCGAAGGCCGAGCCCTATGGAGTGCCGTTGGCGTGCGGCACGTACATGCCAGCTGCTCGAAGAGTGTGGCCGTCACCCCTTGCATTGAAGCTTGAGTGGTGGAGGAGGACGTCTCGCTGGTCTGCTGGCCCTCTTACCGAAGATCTGCAGCGTCGTGCAGATTCCCTGCTGTCAGTGAGCGAGCGAGGGGCGGATATGAATGCGTCCTGCCACTTCACTTGACCACGAGAAGCCATCTGCTTTGTGAGACGCACGGGAGCATCTGCCTGTGCAGGGAGATGGCGGGTACATGCCGAAGCCCCACGCGAGTGTTATTGTTAGGACAGAAGCAGCGCATCAGCCCGAGGCACAGACGCTAATGTTTCGTAGTTCTGGAATTGGCCTAGACATTCGTCATGAGCTCTTCCCGGCCCGCCTGACGGCTTGGCAGGAATACACGTTCATCTTTCCGCTAGCGCTAAATGGTGTAGCACGCCATCGAGGGAGGGAACCAAACGCCCTGCGGCACGCCGATGAACAGGGAGGACGCGGACGCCACCTGAATATATCATGCGTATTGCGACAGATTTTTAGCAGTCGGAGACGCTTTGCTGCTTTTGTCTGGTCTGAGAGCTAAACGTCCTTCGCAAGTGAAAATAGTAGGCGCACGAGAGGCCCACCCGACGTGTTCTTCGGTAGATGCATACAAAAGAGCTTATGGGCCCGCACTCATCAAACATTCACCAGACAGCGCGCGTTCGAGTGCGCAGTGGCGCTGTCTAGCGCTGATACAATCGTGACTAAGGCGTAGTGCCTTTTGAAGGACGGTCTCGACGAAAAAAGTGCAGATAGTTCTTAATGTCGTATTGCAAGTGGAGCCCAACGCGGTTCTTCGTGTGAAGAGGGACGCCGCGAATTAGGACACGAGGTGCAGCGGAGACCAAGCGGCCCTTTTACTAGCGCTGGTACTAGAAGCAGGACTGCTTCGTTCCATGCACAGATTCTTGTCGCGGCGTCGCGTGCGGGTTACAATTATGGCTCGTTTGCATTCCTGATGACGCGCCGATGACTCAACGTCAGGAAGAGAGTGCGACGCGTGCGCGCGCTCCAGAGCAGTTTTAAAGGTCCAGTGTTCGGCATTATGGGCCGTGCCGATAAGGGCTGCCAGATCCGTGAAGGGGCCTTCCCCAAACACGTGCCCCTAGAGCCGCCGTAGCATTGTAAATCATGCTCTTCTCCGTTCCCCTGCGCTGCAGGAAAGAGCGGCGGTGTCTCGAAGCTCGCACCTGGTACAGCCAGCGAATCTTGGTGCTCTGAACAGAGCTCGTTGATGACAAGCTCTTTGCGTCCGCGTGTCTCCGCAAGCGGCTTCTGCGTAGCAAGGGCTGCTCTTCGTTTACACAGAGAGCAGTAAGGCTGTGGCCGCCAGTCCGGTTTTGCCAGCGAAGCAAGGTGACTGGGCGGGGCAAGTTTCTGCTGTATTCGACAGGTTCGCGAGACACCTGCGCCTTGATGCAAACGCTGGAAGTCTATATTGTCGCCTCACTCGAAGCTGATAATGGCGGATCAGCGCCCTTGGCTTACCAGACGGCAAAATCAGCCTGGCACGCAGCCCGACCTCATCATTATCTGTACGCCCTCTCCATAGCGCAGCCTCCAGATGAAGCTTTAGGAGCGCGACAGCAACATCTCCTGCCTGTGTCCGCTGAGTGTTCCGGCGGAGTCGTTGCGCCGGAGGATGAGCAGGCTCACTAGCTCCTGGTCCCCGCGTCCCTCTGCATGCTAAGCAAGACCAACCGACTTCCTCAACTATGCAGCCCTCCTCGAAAACGCTCATTCCTAGGTTTCAGTGCAGTTGGCAGTGACACAAGGTGCCCATATGCGCTTCTTCTTGACACAGGCAACAAGAGCCTTTTGCCGCTGTCCGCCACAGAGTGATCTGCGAGACTTTCCGTTGCCTTTCTCGCCGCGTCCCTGCTTAGGTTGCAGACCGAAGTGGTGAAACTCTCCTCCCACGCAACGGAGCGGGAAAGCTCGGAACGACGAACGCACGTGTCGCGCCCGGGGCGTGCTCGGCGATTCTCCGCTTCTCATGCTGGTGCAGTGCCGCGCGGGGGTGTGGCGCACGATCAGGGCCCCCTGCAGCGTCGGTGGCCGGCCACTCCGCACGAATGAGTACTCGTGGTAGACACCTTCTCCCACCGCGCACACGCGATTTTCAGGAAATACTGAGGTAGGACTGTTTTGCAGCGCTCGAATTGTTCCGCCGCGGAAGCCGCAGCTTTCAGCTAGGCATTCTTTCAGCATCCCGCACATTCCAGAAGTGTAGACATGAGCCGAGCGACGGTTCTTAAGACTGCTGGTCAACTCATCCACAGCACTGCAGTGGATGAGGCGTCCGCGACAGTAGAAGCATGCAATCTGTAATTGGCAGCGTAGTATGCCCCCCCACTCTAAACGCTAGAATCCCGCTGTACTGTGGGAGCCGCGAACAGCGAAAGGTAGCAGCCGGGCGGCGAAAATATCTTTCGAAGGGCATGTGGATGCATACAGCGTTCGTAGTCAGCCCCCCGCGACAAGACAGGATGACAGCCTCGTACGCCTGCACCGTAGCTGCAGTCCAGACACGTATATATGCGTGCACGTAGGCACACAGGACACCTCGAGCAAAGGGGCCGGGAGCGCAACGAAAGGAAGCAGATCACCACAGCGACTTTGGAGGTTGTAGTCGCGCCCCCGGCGTTGACGTTGATTAGCAGGAACCCTGGAGAGGATGCCAGGACAGCTTTCTAGCGGAAGGTGAGGGGTTACTACACCGTGCAAGATCGGGAGGCCACCGCTTGCTTGTTCCCGCGACAAACACAGCGCTCTTAACGCACAGGTGTCAGCGGGCCTCATAACACAAGCGGTAGACCACGTTGTGCTACATCATCAGTGATACATGTGCCAAGGACGGACGAGACCGCAGTGGACAGGATTCTTTTTGTAACGCCCAAGTAAGTGCCCTCACCCGTGAGAACAGGACACGAGCATACAAGCCTAGGCCGTCCCCAGTGGCGAATAGGCAGTGCTCGAGACGAAAACGTGTTTTGGGGTCTGAAAAGGTGGACTGCAGACCAGCTGGACGAGAGCAAGCACTGGAGACCAGGGATCCATCCGTTTTGAGACATGTGTTGAGCCCGTCACACCTCCGTGGGGTCTGTGCAAGTCTTGTGCAGTCCACTGCTCTAACGTCGGCCCGCCGCTCGCGCGTCACTCAGGACGCATTGTGATTCTCGTCTGCGAACTCCTTTGTTACACTGTCGGGGATTACAATCTACTGTTGTCTGGCCTGCCACAACTTTCTGGGCAGGCGCGTGTGAGGGGCTATGTGGGACCCAGCATACTGAAGGCAGTGCACACACACGTCGCAGTGGCCACCGAGGTTGTTCAAAAAGTCTGAGGAAGCGCTGGTGCGAGTGGGAAAGCCGGCCGCGGAACCGAATGTCTCCTGTGTGGTAGTGGCGGCCTTCGATGGACGGGACGGCAGCTATGTCTCTAGCAGGGATTGAAGAAATAGGACCACTGCCGCGATCACACATGGTTTGTTGAGTTTGCCCCCCAGTAAGGAGTGCCGGGCAGTAACGTAGAGCGTTTCGCCTCTGACACGTTGCTAGGCCTTGCCACCCGTGCGACATGGTCCCTCCTGTATATATTGGCCCTGGGTGTTCGAGGGTTGAGAAGCGGTGCAGCGAGCTGCTTGTCGTCACTCCGAAAGCGACTCTGAACCGCTATTAAAGAAGGTGGAAGATGTGGCGCGCTAAGCGGCCTGAGCGCTCCGCTCGGCCACCTGTTGAATTTTCACGTCGGCGGCGGGCTGTAGGACGCAATCGATAGGACAGTAGTGCTCTAAAGCTTCTCCTTCGGCGCCAGAAAGTATGACTCGGATTGGGCGGCAAATGCTATTCTGTTTCTAGCTTCCTCACCATGCGTTATATACTGAGTGGACCTGAGATTTCTGGGGAGAATGACGCTGTCGGCAGACCTACTCCACGAGGCAAGAGGCCGCTGTCGCTACTGGGGAAAGTCAGGTCGGTCACCACTACGCGAAGCGTCTCGACAATATCAGAGGAGAGATGCGTAGCTGCTGTACGGAGGGGCTACGTGAAAGCCTGTACCTGTCCCTTAGCCGCAGCTCTCGTACGGCTCGCAGTAAAAACCGGCCTAGAACTGGCAGGTTGCAGGCACGCGGGAGCGGCGAATTCCTCCCTCTTTTGTCTTTTTCCCTCACTCTCTCTCCTTCTCTCTCTCTCTCGCCGTGCACGTACATATACGTGCCTTCTTATATACACACACATGCCTCGAGCACGCGTGCATAGATACAAACATACATACACACACACGTATGAAAAGACGTGCAGACATGCATCTGTCTGTACATACATTCAGGCATTCGTGCATACGTAGATACATCCGTACACGCATGAATACGGAGAAACATAGAATATAGGTACAAACATGCGTTCACGCAGACATGTATACATTCGTGCACAGATACTCTCAGACGTGCCTGCACACGTACATACGTGTGTTCCCAAATACACAGATGTCTCAGGTACGAAGCCGTGTTGTCCGCCTACCTCCATGTTTCAGTCGAACATGTATGTACTCCATGGTCGTGGGCACAACAGCGGCTTCCTGTTTGCACCTGCCGCGCCCGTGACAAATGATCGATTTTCTGGGGTCTGTGACGGAGAATTGTGCCGGCCTTCGAGAGGGCCCTGGAAGCGGCACCCTCGAGGACGGAGGCAGGAGACCGGACAGACTGTTTTTGACAGCAGTACTATGACGCGAAAGTCACAGCTGTCGTCAACGACTTGTCTTCACGCCAGATGATTTTCTTATTCGCTGTGTCCCAGTGCTTGGGTCTGGCCCGGGGGGACACCGCCCCACAGGGCGCCCGCGGTCGCCTGATGCAGGTAGTGGCTTGTCGCGAACATTGCAGTCTTCCATCCCGTGCAGCTCCCCTAAGCTGAAAAAGAACGCGCCCCTCACCAGAACTACGTACGCGCCTCACCGCTTCACCTGCAAGAGTGCGTTTCCTGCCTGACAACCCTTGAATACTCAACCTGTAGGTACTAGGCAGGCGCTGCTCCTGCAGCCTCCGTGTGATCGCGTGCACGGCGTTATGTCCAGTGACCCGCCGCCCGAGGGCTCACGAAACCGCTTGTCTGCCTGTTTTACAGGGTTGCCAGCATGTTCGGAGAAACTCGAGACCGCCATCTGCTTTTGCCTAGAGCGTTAACGGTCCAAGGGCGGCGACTGTCTGCCTCTTGAGGAAAATACTAGTTTTGACATAGAGTGCTCCACACGCGGCTGAGAACGCTGACAAACAGACGCTGGCACTTGAGGGCATCGTGATGCGTTCCAATAGGGAGATGCATACGCGCTGTCCCGGTAGGGAGGGGTGAATACGGTCCTTTGAGAGTACGGCGGTACAGTCTCTTGTGGTTCGAACGAATTTGAGCGGCATCATGGCGCATCAGGACGCCGTACCGCGGGTCTGTGCGGACCGCGACACGGCAGTTGTGTCGCTGTGGGTGGTCCCACCGAGCAAGAGCCGGTGGGCCACTGATAATAGGGAAGTCGGCCCATCTGCACAGCGCGCTCGGGTTCGTGACGTGAGCTGAGAAGGTAACAAGGGGGCCCTGTGTTAGGCTGTTGTACGAGCTGCAGCCTTCAGCTCGAGTGCCTCCACACTCATAGCGGGTCTCCTTGGATGCTCGAGGGCGCGCCAAAGTGGTGTATCATACATTAGCAACACAAGAAGTAAGGCGGTGCAGCGTGTCCCTGCGAACGCCGCAGTACGCGGCTGGCTCTTGCAAAGAGAGAAAAAAAGGCGCACGCCTGTCATATTACCTTCAGAGCAGGACTCAAGGGCATCATAGAATCTAGGACGTAGACAAGCGTTGCTCCAGAGGGATGCGACGCTAACTAACAGCAATGACAGGGCGCTTGCGTCCGCGGTATGGAGCACTCTGCGATGTGAAGAATGTATGGAAGGTTTGTAAAAAGTATCTTTTATGCTGGCTTTTTGCACCCTTCCATGCCCTACGCAGACGACGAGAACACCCCAATGCACGGCCGAGCTACGCAGGTGGGGTACGCACACGTAATGGTAACCACTGGGACCGACCCTGGAGATTACAGAGGCGTCGGTGCTGATCCAAGCGCTGAACGCTGAAGCGTGTAAACCTTGCCAGACAAGAAAATGAGGCGACAGGCACGTCAGCCACCAAAGCAAGTACGTGTCTGGGCGCTTACAGCCGGTCAGTCAAATCAGCCAGTGCAAGCGAGCTTTCCGAAAAGCTCATTGGGGCGTTTTCCTTCGCGGCGGGTGAACAATGCGGCCGCTTTCTGTGCAACGTGAGACAGAGCGGAGAAGCACAGAAGCGCGCTTCGAACTTCTTCGGCTTCGATTGTGCGTATGCGCGCCCTTGCGCTTGGGGACTTCGTGATTGCTTGAGCGGTGCAACACTGATCGAAAAGGAGAGATCGTTGAGAGTGTTAAAGGCAGGAAAAGTCTGTCGAGATAAAACAGAGGGGGCTACCCGTACACTTGATGGCGTCGGAAAGCGAAAGGCGACATGCGGCTACGAGAGCGTACATATATATATATATATATATATATATATATATATATATATATCGATACATGCACATATAGACATATACGCACGTGGACGTACACATAAGTGTACGTCTTGCCCAAGGACAACGCTTCATGTGAAGCGCTGCAGAAGAAGGCGCGCATGTGCCGGCAGAAGAAGCATTCTTCTTTTTCCATACACATGCATGTATACGCACGCACGTACGCTCTTTAGGACCTACGCCCACAGAGGTAGACAGACTTACGTCCACCGATGCAGGTGGCGCTCCGTCAGCGTTGTGCGGAGCGGAGCGAGAAACGCTCAGCGTCGTTCTGGGCAGAGAGCAGCGCAACCGTTCTCGTGGCCGTCGCCAGGTAGAAAACAGCTCATTCGCTCTGATGGCCCAGCGCCGCTGCTCGCTACTGACGAGATAACCTTCCGCAACCCGTTGTCGATGCGCCAGCTCGCAAAATCGCCGTGCTGTAACTCTTGCGGCGGTGCGAAGCCTAACGGGTCCCCAGATGGAAGGCGACGCATCCCGAGTGCTCGCTTGTCTGCACGGGGACCATAGCGATACGGCATGTCTCTGGCATCCATCACAGCGACCGAAGTATTGTGGCCCTGCTTCCGTGCAGCTGGTGCATCAAGCTGCCAGCCGAAACCGGTGGCGTCCACCCGGCGGTCCGGGAGACGATGCGCAGGCCGCATTAGGGTCTGCAATAAATATGGTGGATTAGAAGTGGCTTTAAGAGACGCGCGTGTTTGCTGCATCAAGGACAACCTACTGTTCGTGCCCGAGTCTCTCTAAATGTCGAACTGCTGAGTAATTGTTAGGGAAGTGGTGTAGCTGCGACGAGGGTGCTGCATTGTGCGTTTCCCGAAGGCAACGCTATGTTCTGGGAAATACGTGAGCGCGCAGTAATCTGTTGCCCGTCACACTTCAGCTCCCACGCGGTCTCGTGACCCATTCGGCTATGATGAGGCACACTCCCTGAGCAGGCGACAAATCGATTATCGGCCGCGTGTGGGGCGGTCGATTCTGACTGCGGCCACAAGTCTACCAGGGCGTACACTTGAGGCCGAGCGCTTGTTAATGAATTGGCGCCTACTTCATTTAAATAATGGACGCTTGTAGTCTTCATTGAAAGGCTGTGCGGGAGTTCTTGTGCGTACTCCTTATTAGAGTTGCGCATTTATATGCGTGTATGCCCATATTAGTATATCTATGTTGGCGTACATGTATGCATACATATACCTCAGTACAGGGTGAGCCGCGGGCGACGTAGGAATGACATTCCTCACGCTGGAGCGGTCTGGCGCATTGGGTGCGCCAGCCGCCCTCCATCAATTACACATTCGAATCTCTTTCAAAATGAAGTTGAAGAACGCGCGAGTCCGGTCCACGTTCTGGCGTGTGCGCGTTCGCTGGCGCCCGAGGAGCCATTCTGTGCCGCACCGGTTGCCAGGAAGCGCATACGATGAGCGTAGCGCTTGGAACACATTCCCTGTGGAGGCGAGCAAATGGCCGTTTCCTGTACCGCGCGTCAGCGCCGTCACTGAGCCGGAGTCGCCGTACTCTCGCGCTATCTACATTTGTAGCTGTGCCCTCATCGGCGCTTAGGTGTACCGTCGTGGCTGATACACACGTTACCTACGTCAGTGAGGTCACATTGAAAGCCAGTGCAACACTGATATCACAGGATCTTTATCGGAACTGGAGTATTCTGCAAGTAGACACGGGTGAGCGTCAAAAGCGAAACGACATCACGGACGAAAGGAAGGCCTGTCGGCGGAAGGCAGACGTGTTGTACGCACGCAGGAGGAGAGCCAGCACACCTGTAGGCTGCTGAGACGGCGAGAGCAGTTGGTTTTTCACAAAATATAACATGCCATCCTTTACGCGGGCGGACTCGCCTGGTTCCACGATTTACGGTAGAACGCTGCCGCCTGACAGGAGAGTCATCTACTCGTGCCGCCGGTGGAGAAGGTGATAATCTGTCTTGCACCGCTCTCTCGCAACTGAGCGTATTTCTCCCGGATGCACCTTCCGGAAGCAGACAGGGGCAGACTTCGCAGAGGATTAGGCGGCTTTCACCGCGTACATGGGGGAAGGAGGTCGTACAGGGAGACTGCAGCTCTAGCCCAGCACGTCGATACTCCCTGACTAGGAACGTGAATTTATAAGAGAATGCTACGAATGAGCAGAACCGCAAGAAAGGTTGGTCACGTCGCCTGGCAGGGAACAAGTCGTAAGGTTACATGGTCTGTAACAGCTTTATTAGTGTTTCGTCAAACAGCACTGTAGGGACAGTCCTTACAGAGGTCGTACATGGCTGTCTGCTGCGGCGGCTCTCATCTTGGCGCAGCTGTGCTACGTCTCGAGTCTCGTCGTGTTATGCAGGAACAGGTCAGCATCCAAGCAAAAGTCGCTTCGGGTTCAGCCGGTGCCGCCGTCGGACAGATATCATGTTTGGGGTTCCAGGCCCTGTGCTAGAAATGTGATCCAGCGTCTTTCTTGTGAGATATACTCTACGCGGCTGCCAAGCGCACGCTTGAAAAATACGGATGCGTCTCGCCTCCTCTCAAGGCAGGGTGCAGCTGCTCGCCCAAAGGGACTGATGTCGTGTCTGAGCTTGAGTAGACGGTTGTACAGTGGCTCTTTTCTGCTCGTCCCATTCATTGTGTTGCGCAGCAGCCATGCGCTTCCTCCGCTAGACCAGACTCTACGGCAGCACGGGTGATCGGGTCGACACGCTAAGGACTTGCTGGTAAAAGCAGGCGTTGTCAATGAAGACGGGCGACTGGCGTCCTGGAATAGGACCACGCAGAATTCATAAGCCAGATAGTGGGCGCCTCAATGCAGATGTACGCTGCTACGGAGCGAGGGGAAGGTTACTGCTGTGGGATTGCCAGCGTTCCAAGTGAAAGTTGCTGGTCAGCCCTGACGCTTATGCGTCTAGGTTTCTTGCACGGTTAGTAGTAAACTCGGAGAATACGCGACGAGGCCTACAGACTATGACCAAGAAAACAGGCGCAGGTGTACTGGCGAAGAGGGATTATAGATATCCGCAGCCGTAGAGTGGAGGCCTTCTGCAGCTGACCATATTCCGTGCTGCCTTGCGAGTGTTCCTCCGCCAACCAGTGACAAAGATACAGAGCCGCCGTCTCGATGACAACCGGGGCGCGAAAGCACCCCAATTGACGTGCCGTATTCGCGGCATACACAGTGGGTGCGGAAATTACACATTGCAAGAGCAAATCCGCAGGTGGCCTTGCCCAGATGGAACTCTTATTACCGCGATCATACAATGCTGCACAATGGCTTCTGATCCGTCCTCAGCAAGTTCCCGAGTGAGGAGTTTCATTTCAGAAGGTCCCTAGGGGTGTCAGGAAGCAGCGGATGCGTGTCAGGAGGTCAGCTGCGAGAGAGGCTTGTCCAAAAAGCACCTGTTTCTTCAGGCGCGACGAGCCACTCGTATTCCGCTGGTGACTGCCTGAACGGCGAAAGACCGCTAGATGTATTGTGCATGGCGCAGCAGTCGGCAAGTGTCCTGGGCAGACGACTCGACCGCAAGGCGACCCCTGGTGCCTGCGTGTGTAGTGTTCCACATCCTGGCCGCTTTACAGAACTGACTGCTTCGGGGGACCTCGGCATCCGCCGCCGCCCGTTTGCCGACCGCTCTTACTTGACAGGACAGTTGTAGCAGACTGCCTCTCCCGTGTGTGCAAACACGAGTGCCCGCCCCGGCGGTATATTCCGCCCTGAAGAAGTTCTCGTCACCAGCAAGGAAGTGGCGGGCCTCACTAGCGCATCTTACCTGTGAGGGCCTGAGAAAGATCGGACGGCGGTCTGCTACATTTTATTGTAGGCGTCTTGCTGGGTAGAAAGTTACCGTGCAGGCGTCGACGCAGGGTAGGAATTGCTGCTTGCAGCTCTATCCTCGGTCTAGCAAGCGTCAGGGGCTCGCAGCCGGGTTGGCGTGCCGTTGTGCCCTAGAGGCAGCTCGGCTAGTTATCGGCGTATCGTCTGCATCGTATGATATGCTGCGCAACAACCGGTCTGTGGTGGGCGGTCTGCACGGTAGCACTAGGGTCGCCCGCTAAATGTCCGCCTCTGAAGCCGCTACGAGCGAGTGGCTGTGACAGCCGAGTGTTCCTCGTTTGTGGCTTGCAGGGTGCTATGAGCAAAAAATTAAGGTGCACTCTCTCGCTCATTGTGTGTCAAATGCTGTGATCTGCATTGAATTTGAACATTCGTCCTGTGGGCTCAAATACAGAACGCCGCGTTGCTGCGACACTTGGAACGCTTCTTTAGGACTCTCTTCTAGACATTTTCCGCGGATTGCCTGCACGATTTCCTGCCTGTAATCCAGCGCCTCGCTCTCGCAGTTGCCGTGACGGTCGCAGCTCCTATTGGCCGCGAGGGGTAGGTCGCTCCGGCTTAATGTAGGTGACGATTGAGAGAAAGAAGGTGAAGCTTAGACCGACAATCGACTCCTGCATTCCTCGGTGAAAAGTCTCACCGAGCCTGCCCAATTGTCAGTTTGTGTGACACGGCCTCCGCTATAGCTACGCACTAGCACAGATGCAGGGTTGCCCTCGCGGACGTAGATGTTCCGCTTGGTGAGAATGCAAATTGGGGTGGCGACGCAACTGTCCCGCAGGATCTGAAAGATTCGGCGGGAGCTGGATATTCGGCCTAGCTTGCGGGGACGCGAAGTCGCAAACACTCCAACCGGGTAGCTTTGCTCTGCCGGTCCTGACTGAGGTTCAGCTTCTTCTTGTTGACGTACTGCGCGTGTGCTGGACATATATCTGGACTGTACAGGTGCCAGTATTTGCGCTACTGAGCGGTTCAGCCCCGACAAAACCACGGCTGACTTAAGCAGGGCTTCTACAGCCGGGCAGTCCTGAGGGCTGAGTGAAGACGTCTAAGCGAGTAGAGGTCTTAAAGCCCGCAGGAGACCAGCATGTCGGGAGAAGTGGAGACGCTGTTTTTGTTGTCGCCGCCCTGTACGAGGACAGTGGATGAGATTGCGCAGTCGAAGCAGAGCGCGAGAAGTCGGGGGTGTAGTGGTGATACTGGCGGGCGCGCTTTCCGCGCAGAGCTGTCCAACCATTGTCCTCTGTCGTTGCTAGGGAGCTCCGCCCTCTCAATCTCCGGCTGGGATTCAGCACTGCCGCGGCGCTCGGACGCCAACAAGAAGTAGCGGCGGGGGCGGGGGAACGCGTTTCGTGGGCACAGCTACTCATGGACTGGTCCAATGTTCTCACTTGGGAGCACGGCCCCCTTATTTTCAGGCAGTGGTTCAGCACTGCCGTGGCAGTGTGAGGCCGACGAGAAGTAGGGCAGAATGAAGCCGTATACTCTCAATGCGCCATCGGCTGCACTTATGCAAGGCGCCAGCTCGAAGACTGCAGACCTCTGAAGGATTTAGCGTTGGACTTCTGCACCATGGAGGTTGGGAGGATTCAATCCGCAAGAACATCCCACCGGCGCGCAGTTGCGAAACCGTCGCCTGCGGTTCTTCGACGCTGTTCTGGTGTCGTGAGGGATAGGAGGGTTCGGTTTTGGGTTTCTGAGGGCCGTCCACGCATCCCAGTCGGGCGTCGTCCACGGTATTATGCACAAGGGGCAACACCGTGCTCCTCTAGCGGAAGTTCCACGCGAGGGGGGGGGACGGCTGACAGGTTTTCTTTGTCATTGGGTACGGAGGATCCCGGCTTTTTGCGTGCTGGACTACTGAGCGCTGGCCGTCGCCACACGGAGAGAGGCAAACGCTCTGCTGGCGGGTCACTTACTTGACTCCGTTCACAGCCGAGAGGAACGCTGCGACTGCGGCACTTGCCACTTGTATCTCTACCGCGTGTAACCATCCGTCCGGAACGCCTCCCGCACGGGTTAACCCTGCTCCTTCGCGCGGTTACAAAAATATGTTGCCGTCCTCTGTCGGTAGGGCTCGTAACGCTAGTCAAGAGACCCCCTTCGGTCCGCGACCTGACCGGATCGTCGACGGCGTTTATAATAGCTGTCCTCCAGTACCCCGCACACGCACTACCGTGTGTCTCTCTGGAGATCTGCTACGGCTTCGTCAGCTGCAGGCGCCTCTCCAGTCTTGTGCACTGTGGCCGTGGTGTGCCCTGCGCTTCGCGACTTCCGCCTGTAGAAGTTTTCGGGCTTGACGGTGCCTCGTGCACGTTCTTCCGTGAGACGGGGAACCTTGCATTTCTTTCTCCCTGGTAGGAACGTGCCAGAGCTGCCCGACCGTCATCGTCATCGCGCGCTGCTCGTGTGTAACACTTCGCGCACCCGTGAAAGCGGTCTTGCGCCGCTCTATTGACAGCGGTCTTTTAACCGCAACAGCATGGCGAAGGCAGGACATCTGGTGGCCTGTGCATGCGGGGAAAATCATTTGCAGATATCGATATTGCCTGCTACGCGGGTCGCGCGAATCCTTCGGTGATTTGCGTTCCATTCTGCTCAACGTTTACCGAATGCCCAGGCGCCATCAACGTCGATTGCTGCGCCCAAGTTTGGAAGCAGCTGCTTTTCAAGAGCGCTCTGCGCCGCCACCCTGTCTACAATTTGTGCAGATGCGGGTGAGAACGGAGTATCGCAGAGAACCAATGAGGGTGAAATACGAAGAGAGACGCTGCGGAGCGGAAGTGCTGCCCACGCAGCAGGCATCTCGGGAGTTGGTCACCGGAGGACTCTTTCAGGCTGGCCAGGTCACGCTGGTCGAGGAGGGGTTGGCCCATAGCTTGAGGTCGGTCCAACGCCAAAAGAACTGTGCACCATATTGTTCCTAGCTCTCTGGAAACACTCGGAAGTCAGTTCTGCAAAGGAGTGACGCGGCGACAGGTAGGTGCTGTCGTGTGATATACCTGAGTCGGACATGAGCGCCGAATGTCGGTGGTGGTAAAACGAAGCAAAAAGAGAAATCAAATCATGGAGCTAGAGGGAAAGGTATAATATAGAGAGACAACTCCGGGACGGCACTGTAGAGAGTAGCGTCGTGGTTGCCCCGCAGAGCGCGTCCATATGTAGATGGCTGTGCCCTGCTAGTGGGGGCACATTGTCTCGTGGCCAGCATTAGCAGTCGGAACTCCGGCGGGAAGTTCCTGCGACAGGGCAAGCCGTTTGGGCTCCTCGTTTGGCTACGGTGGGGGCTAAGAAGGGTGGTGCAGATCTGCATTTCAGCGCAAGCACATGCATGATCTGACGACTGGATGATGCCGACGCGTGTCGTGACGAAAGGCGAAGAGCGGGCAATGGAGTCTGGTGGGCAGATACGCCGCCATACACAAAAAGGCCGAAAAGATCATGCGGCCGAAAGGGCGAAAATAGTGTTTGCACAAGCTGTACCAGCGCTGCGTTGAGCTAGAAAAGGTAAGGGTTTGCATGCATGGCACACAAGTGAGGTTTCTCTGAGAAACGTGTATCTGTCGCTAAAGACCCAGAGCGTCGTCGTGGCAAACCGACATGGAAGCGGGCAACAAGGCGAAAGACGCGTTCGATCCCGCCGACTGATTTAATGCAAGACACCCGCTGGACCAGACGAGTGTAATGTATAGGACCGGGGGCGCTGATTGCGGGGAAATCTCAGCACACTCTCAGTGGTGGGAGTAACATTATCGAAGCCTGTATACGCCGAAGGTTCATATAGAGCTGGGAAAGGGTCTCCGGTGTCTTTTTCTGAAGTGTCAAGTAGCATCGCAGCTTTCCAGTAGGTGACGGTAGCAATGTTGAAGCGTATATACGCCGACGATTCATACCAGACGCGAAACGGGTGTCCGATGTCTTTTTTCGAAGGGAAGTGGCGCCGCAGTTTTCCAGTTGGTGGCGGTAACATTTGCAGAGCCTCTATACGCCGAAGACTCATACAACACGGAATAAGGATCTCCGGCGTCTTTTTCTGAAGTGTAAAGTACCACCACAGTTTCCAGTGCTTATTTTGTCGGCCGGCTGCGCAGCGGCATGCGGCGGGTTACAGCCCTGGAGAGGCTGGTCGCACGCACGTCGTGGCGGTTGCTGAGACAGCCGGACGCATTGATGCAGTTGAGTGCGCAAAATGCAGGTTGTGTGCCCGCAGGGATCGCGTCAGTCCTCCACCAACGTTTGCGCCTTCGCCGCAGCCTGGGGCTTCAGCGGCATTTTGTGTGTAGCGGACTATATCCGCAGCCACAGGCGTCTGCTTGGGGTTGTCGCCGCCTGTGGTCGTCCAGCAACGCAACGACGGGTACCAACAAACGCGGCGCGAAGAGCTGAGGAGTCTAGACGTGTGGGTACTGGGTAGACAATCCTACCTAGTACTACCTGGCGATTGCGGCACGAAGCGCAGACCAAACGCAGGGCGACGAGCGCTACCTGGCGCTATCGTTGGACGCGGCGTAAACCAACGCGAGAGCAGCAATGGTCAGTAGGAGCTCGATTAGCGAGCTGGAATCCACGGCTTTTGCTCAGCAGTACGCGAGGTTTTCGGCTGTCAGGTGTGCTGGCAAGGCGGTTATAAGGGTGTGCCACTGCTTCACCCGGGCACCTCCCGTGGCAGGCACTGGATGTAAGGACGAAGCAGCTTTGTACAGCCCTCAGAACGCCCGGAGGACACTGGAACAAGCGAGCATGCTTGTGCACTATGAGTTTCGCGGGCGTGTCGGCCTTCGGGTCCAAGGCTGGAGAGTGGCAAACCACGCCTGCTATCGCCAGGCGACGGGCAAAGTGAGACGAGAGCCACTTTCAGCTTAACCGGAAGAGATAGGGAGGTGGGGGTACTGCAGGGAGATACGTACGTATTGATAAATATGGACATCTGTCTACATATATATATATATATATATATATATATATATATATATATATATATACGTACATACATACATATATATAGGCATCACGCTGCATCCACTTTTGCCAGGAGAGCGGCAGAAGGAGAGAGCCGCTTCGCCTGGGCAGAAAACAGCCCGTGCCGCTCAATGGCCGGCGCTCCAGAGACAGCCACGACCGCATCATACACAGTCGCCTTGCAGAGAACTACGCGATTGACGGCTCGCCTGGTCTTGTTTTTGTCATGGAGCCCGCAACCAGAAAGCCGTAAGTCTGTCTGTCTGGCGCACGGTTTTTCCGATAGATTCCGATATCAAACCGCAGCGCACTGATGTCTGGTGCGTTGACAGTACGCCTCCGGAGAAACTTGAGGGTCGGCATGCTGACTGCATGCTATGACTGCATGTCTGTTGCCCTGTGAGAAATTATCCAGCCTTCGCCCACGGCGGTTGCCTGGCTACGCGTGGCCCATGCCAAAGTCCTAAAGTACATCCGATGCGACGTTGGAACTACCTTTTTGCTCCATTTTTTCTGGTGGGGGCGTGCCGCTGCCCTGTCTGCGTGTCGCGCCACTGTCACCTTGTTGCATCCTCACAGGCGAAAAGCGGTGTGGTGCGGCGGCCCTCGAGATCTTCTGCTCAGCGGTCTTCCGCGGCCTTGTTAGCTCTGAAACAGCGCCGGCAGAGGGGATGGCTCGTGTTAGAGGGATCGACCAGCACGTGCCGCACCCCAGAACCTGTGATACCCTGCGACGGCGTCAGGCCACACACAGACGCACATATAATGGAAGCACCTGCCCGACGTCGCAGTCGCGGAGCTGTCATGACAGACGACATGAAGAGACTTTCTAACGAATGTGAACCACTGAAAACGTCTCTCCCGCTCCTGATAACCTGTGCAAACTAGCGGAGGTGCAGCAGTGCTGTCCACTTTGCTGACGTACCGGTACATCCTCTAGAGCGTGTCCTCCTACTTTGACTCGCTTTCGCAGCCTGACAACCGTAGCTGAAGCAAGCGCTGCTGCGAAATAATATTCGTGGCCGTGATAAAAGTCTCCTCTCTCGTACCGTCACGCTGCGTCTCGGCGGGGCCCCGATCATCATTTTCGGAGGCTGCGCGTTCTCGGGAATTGCGCGCCGACCAGGACACACCTCATCTCACGCCCTTCTATGTACCTGCGTAGCGTTCATGCTGCGTGTGCTAATACGCAAGCAGTGGTTCATAAGATCTCCGACCCGATACACCATAGGCTTCACGAAGTCACGGGGATCAACAAGCTCGCCAATGTAGGTGGAAGGATTCAAGTCTAGGGAAAGGTCGTTGCTCCTGGGTAGGTGTGTTTTAGGAACAATTAGGCTTGGTGAATTACAGAAATTCACGGACAGAGGAAAAAACTGGAGGCAAAGCCACCGTCGACCTCCTTTGTGGGGTGGTTGGGAGGGGGGTGTTCAGCTGACGACCGTGTTTGCCTCTACGCCACACGTCTGCGTGGTCACCGATTGCACTGCACACTGGGAGGACACTATTTCTTCGGGGGGAGGAGATGCTGCATTTTGATAACGGTGTGTATTGCGCAGCGCCGTTGGATAAGCTGGCGGGCTCTGGATCCACCCGCTCTAAATACAAGACCGTAATCTTGTATTAGGGTGGCGCCTATAGCACCCCAGAGGGAGTGCTAGCAAGCCACCGGAGCCGATACGTCACCGTCGACTGGAACAGAAGCACACCCTAGAAGCCGCGTCCCCCTAGGGGGGCTACACGCCACTCACGTACTCACGATCCCAGCCTAAAACTGCTCGGCCGCCACTAGAAGCAGTGCTGATCGTTCATTGGTCGGTCGATGTCATACTCCTGCTTTTACACGACAGGAGGACGCCCCGTTGTGGTGGGCATCCGCCGGCGTCCCTTTGCTGGCGCTTGCGACGCTGCCGGTGTCTCTCACGATCATGCAGACCTTTATCGTGGGCGAACGCAAGCCCGGGCGGTACGGGATACGTGCATGTAACTCTCGTCAGCGTCGCAGAGGTGGCCGCTCTCATCAAGTCGATTCACAAAGGCATGTGGGAACGGCACGTGTCTTTCGGTTGCCACGTTACATGCCAGAGGTCTACACGGTCAGGTTGCTTATACTAGGCGCATTAATGGCGATGGTGGCTGCAGGGTGCACTACTCTCCGTCTCTAGAAATCCTGACAGTCGCCGGCAGAGTTGGCGGCGGCTAGCAACGCGGGCTGCTCACGTAAACGTGCGCTACCTAGGAGCAGCCTGTCTTGTGGCCTGCAGCAGCGTGCCAGTAGTGCTCGACACCCGCGACAAGAGGCAGCAATTATGTCGCCCGTAGAGTTCAGTATTGCATTCCGCTAGCAGCACGCTGCTGTTCCACGATAGTGTATTTCTCTTTTAGGCTTAGGACTCTGCTGTGGTCAGAAACAAAGAGGAGAGCCACTCAGTGCGTCATGCAAGCGGGACACGTGATGTGCACTGAATGCAAGCGTTTGTACGGGGAATCTGGGTCCGGACAAAGCCATGTTTCCGCGGTGAGCGACAAGACCCCCGAGGACCGTTTTTCAGCCGTCACCCCCCTGGAGCCCGCGCGTAGTCTCACGTGTGCAGCGCTGACCTGCAGCCTCGTATACAGCGACGAGAGAAACCGCATCTGTATTGTCCTACATAGAGAGCGGCTTCCCGTGGTATTCAGCAGTGCGTCGCAACGACGGTGGCCGCTCTTCGTTTTTTTGGGCGCCGTGATCCTCTTGAAGGCATGACGTAAACAAAAAAGCACGCTCGCTCTTGCAGACCGTCGTGCACGACATGGTAGCCTAAACACGGACCGCCCACCGACCGCTGCATCTGCGTAAACAAATACGCCCCGAGTGCGTTAGCCAATTGTAAAGAACATAGCTCTATAATTAATCCAGACGAGTGAGCTGCTTTGCACGTGTCTCGATGTGCTTCTAAGCGGTTCTTTAGCCGACGCGTTAGCCAGGCAGCCGAATACCAGCGCGGCGTTCTTCTAGATGCATGCACTGGCGAGTATTCCAGCGTTGACACATGCTGACGATAATCCTTTAACGGCGCTCATCAAACTCCGCTGGCTCGGAGAGCCTGAAAACATACGGACGAACAGGAGCCCTAGCAGCCGTGAGGCGGCGGCACGCTGGGAAGGCCGCGACGGGGCTGCCGGTTTCACGTGTTTTAAGGAGGATACCCCGCTAAACCAGGCACTCGTAGCAATTTTAAGAAACGCCTGCTGAGGAAGTGCAGTGGAAGATGCGTTTTGGATTGAAGTGCCTCGCACTTGCACCTCTGTTTTAGCTTCGGAGGGTTATGCCGTGAAAGCTCAGATGGAGAAGCATAACTTGCGCAGACCACGATGACCGACATACGAGCTTACTAGAGGCGAACGAGCCTTACTGTTGGTGCGAATGTTCTACGGAAGCAGTGGGTGGCGGTAGTAGGGGTTGTGGAAAGTTACGAGAGATTTGTTGTGGTCCTGCCTCATATAGAGCGCCGTTAGAATTGTTGCAGGCTTTCTGCCGAGGGCGCACCGCTGCAAGCGTCAACTACAGGGACTGGGCAAGAGCCCAGAGGCACTCTACGACGAGCACAACAAGAGATCCGGGGTAATAGGCGGCCACGCAGTACGCTTCTGTTCGCAGACGTACGGCGGTGTTGCTGCACATGCGACTCTTGTTCGGCAGGCGTTGCCGATGGTCTCGCAGATCGTGCAGGCCCTCTGCAACTTCGAGGTATGCCCACCTGAGCGCTTTCCTCCACTTCCGAGGACGGGTAATTTTCTGCGGAGCTTGCGTCCTTAGACGTGCCAATTTCATTGCAGACGTACAACCTCGAAGCCAGCTACTGCGGCCCGAAGATCTGCTGCTCACATTCGTTCACCCCCTTGCGGCAGGGAGTGATGCAAAGCTCTGCTCCGCACACTTGTCAGTTAGGATCCAGCAAGCGGCGCAAGGTCGTCTGCGTGTTGCGTCTGGGCAGCGCAACGCTCTACATATGTGAGATGTCTGGATCATACTGTGTGAGTAGCGCGCCGAAGGCGTGGCCGCAGAGACCGTGTGCCTCTTTTTGCACATGGCACACACGTAATCGTCTCGTCCATGTGGCAAAAGGTGCATTCTACGCTGCACCTATTTGCTCCGGCTGAAGCAGCAAGGAACGTTCGTCCGTCTCCAGGGGAGGTGGCGGGGGGCAGATCCTTCGGAGCTACCCTTAACATCCGGTACGCTTGTCACGTCTATGTTTGTGGCAACCTTCAAGGTGTAGGGTCTGCCCGCGATCCAAAGAGCAAATTATGGTGGAGATGGAGCTTCCCACCTGAAGCAACGACGGAAGATAGTCGACATGAGAATCTAGCCTGGCGCAGGATCATGTCTCGCGGTGAGCCCCTCGCCAGCGTGTACCTGCAGCTGACCAACGCAGCTCGCGCATGCAGAAACGGGTGAGGAAGAGGCGTAGCTCCAGCACAAGACCTATGACTGCAGTTTTTGGTATAACTGACTACTTGTGCTACGTTTCTGGTTTGCAAGTACGCGACCTTTCGCGAGCGCAAGAGTCGTACAGGCACTGCTTCTCCGAGTTGTGCTGGCCGGAGACGTGCACTCGAAGACATGATTAAGTCTGCGAAAGACGGTCGTCAGGTTACACCGAACAATGTTCTTGAAGAGAGAACGGTTGTAGTGCGAAAGTCTGCGCAAACAACCAGCGCAGGGGCAGGCCTACTGGCGTAGAACTGATGCTTGATAAGGTTGGCTTTGCGAGGGGAGAGTGCAGCTCAGAATTGCGGCGCCAGTGTTAGCGGCTGTCCTCGGGCGTCTGCACAAAAAGAATCTCGATGCTCTCGTAGCGTAACACTTTTTCGTAGCTACAGAGGTTCGCTGCCCAGGGACCGTATAAAACTTCATGCATGGACTTGTGAGCGCGCTGCCGGCCGTTAGGCTGCGTTCACGCAGCTGATACGCCAACAAATTCTGCCTCTTTCGTATGGGGCCGTGGGGCGCCGCTTCATCAACGATGCGGCGGCACACGGGACGAAGGGAGGGGTTTGAGGCTCGCAAGCCGAGGCCTCATGCACAGTGCGCGGCCAATCGAGATAAGACAGCAGACGGCCCTCTTCGGTGCTGTCGCGCTTGTGCCGTTTTGAACATGGATACCCTCAGAATCCTCGCCGGCATCCGACGTGGCCGAGAATCTTTCAATGATTCGCGTGAGTCCCGCAGAATTAGCTCTCTACTTAGAGAAAAAAGTGTAGCAGGAAACTACTAAAAGTCTTCCTGACTTTTACAGCAAAATAAGTGAAACTATCTGTGTTGTTACGTGGTCTTTTGTGGCTACTCTCACGCGCAACGCACTTGTTTGGCGCACCACAAATTACGAACGTTGTTGGCGATGCAGCTCCGGCCGAAAAGCGTTCGTGTTCCACAGTGTTTCGCACGGCATTCAGACTCTGTAGG